CCAATCGCTGAGTAATCGTCCCAACCGTCTCACAACCTCGACCAGGTCATGTCAGAAGCTGTCCATCTGTCAGACGCATTGGCAAAAACATCCGGATCTCTATTGGGCCGGTGCTTGGTGGTGCGCCTACACGTTGGCGCCAGATCCAGGTAGTGATAGCACGTCGCTGAAAAAGAGCGCATCGCGACTGCGAAATAAATGCGCAGAGCGCGCCACGATTGCGACGCAAAAAATACCGCACCAGACTGGATCATAAGGCGCCTAGCAAGGACGAGGGGGGGAGCCGGCAGCTTCACATGAGAGGTCACCCACTCACCAGCTCCATGGCAAATACTGTTTTCGCCCACTGCTGTCGCGGACGCCCTCCGCCTCGATGGCGCGCCCAGTCTCTCGGAGTACCATCTGGGTTGCATGCGAGGCGGCGCGTTGAAGAATCCACGGGCTGGCCCACGATATTCCTGTACAGCGCAATCTGCTTCTTGCGCGCAAGCTGCGACAAAGGCAGCGATTCGGCCCTCTCCAGCGCAGTCGCGCTAGAGATTCTGGATACAAATGCACGTGGAATGCCGAGGATGTCGCGCAAACGCTTGCCACGGGAAGCATCTTGGCGACCCCTCTCTGCCTTCGGCAACCGTGGGGGAGTCCACAGAATATATCAGCCCGCAGACCACACAGCTCCAGTTGAGAAGTACCTTGCGGCGCCGGCAAATTGACGCATGAGACCGCAACTTCTGAAGCTGTCCGAACAGGTGCGTGCTTTCGCCGATCCGTCTCCAGAGCTCGCTGTTTGCCTGGCCATCGCAAGACGCGACTGCTCCCAAGTAGTTCGCCTCTCTGACGCTATTGACGGGACCCCCGCCAGGCTTTTCAAGCGCACCCTGACAACCGATCTGCATCTGCACGGTCTTGTCCAAATTCAGCCCCGTGCCGTAGCTCTGGCTCCACGACGATGTTGCCCAACATCTGTTGCAGGTTGCTGGCGTGGGTTGACAGGCCGGGCGTCGCCCGCGTAGAGCAGGTCCCCGCAAGCGCCAGATCACAACGCGCATCGCGAACAGACGCGGTCTGTACAATGATGAACATGTACGGGGGCAAAGGGCAACCTTGGGCGACGCCCGCCGTCTGTCTCCGTTGACTTCAATCGCCGCAACGACCCACCATCGCGAAAGATCTGCACGCGTAAATTCCCCAGATCATGCCCACCATGAGATCTGGAATGTCAAAACGCACCAATGCCTTGCATGAGCAATCTGGCTTGATGCGGTCGAAATATTTTGCCCAATCCAAGGGTGGAAATACCGGTCCGCGGCATTGTCTCGACGACATGCGTCAATCATTTCCGGGCGATCGATGGCGCTGCCGCCGCGCCGCGTCTCGGCCGGAAGCCAAACTGAGCTCGTCGCATCCTATCTTCCACCCCTCCTTCAATGGGCCTCCAGCGCAGCATGGCCTCGAGCGTTGTGTATCCGACGGTGAAGATACAAGGCCTTGCCTGCTGGGTAGCGTCGCGCCCCCCTCCGTCAAGAGTAAGGTTGCGTTAGTTATCTTCCAGATGGTGGGCCAGTCTTTTCCCATCTGGCAAGCTCGACATATCTGCAGTAGCGCATTGCAGACGTCGCTGCTTGCACCGATGATATTCCAAAGCTCTCGGGGAAAACATCGCCCGGGCCCCCCGCTCTCCTGTTCTACTTTTTGCGAAGAGCACGCCAGAGCTCAGCGACAAGTAAAGCAGACGCGTCCACGTTTTAACACTCCATTAGATGAGGGCGTCGACTCTGCAACCCGCACATGCCAATGGACATATTCAAAATAGTCTGCGAGAGCGCCGGGTCGCCCGGCTGCGTCCGTGACGCGCCCGTTCGGATGTCGGATGCCAGCGTGCTTCTTCGCAGCGGGTTTGCGCGGTCTCCGCGCGGCTTTCCAACTCTCTCCATCCGGCGCTCGTTCCATCCAAATTTGCTCATCCTTCTGGCCCGGCTTCACGATTGCATTGTCCATGGCATTTGCCTCGTCTTCGTCTTCGGCATTTCGAGCGACGACCCCTCTTCAATCAAAGTCAGTGTGGCCTGAGATATCCATGGGCCTCGGGGTGCGACCGCGCGCGTTCGCAATGCCGCTGAAGTCGCGGCGAACCCTGACGTCGATTTAGACTCGTCCAAAGACGCACGCATCCCTGTCGATTCCCAATGTTCGGAGAAGCCGGAAAGGAAAGCTGGCCCCACGTCCGGGTCGACCAAAGAAGAAAGTCGCGCCGTGGAGGGTGAGACTGGCGCGCGACTGGGAACTGAAAAGCGAAGCCCGCTCCCAGCCGCAAATGGCGGGCGCCGCGAGCTTCTCCCCGGCGCACTTGACATCTCCCCGCCGATGGGAGAGTGGAGTGGTGGCATGCAACAAGATCCAACTGAGCAAAACGATCGGGCGCAGACGGCTGCGTCGGGGATGCCCCAAGGTCTCGGCGCGCCGCCAACTCATCAGCTGGAAAATAGAAGAATGCATTTCTAATGGCCATGTCAGCACTCACGCAGCATTCGAATAATAATTAGTGGTCGGCGACGACAGCAGGCGCCTTCTCTGGGGGGTGCGATTCGGAGATGCATTCCCCAAGTACGCCGTGTTCCCTAGCCCTTCGCTTCAACAACCTGGCATTGAAGTCTCCCAGAGCCACTGTGGTACCATGGAGAGTCGTAAACCAATCTATGGAATTCGGAAGAAGAGTCCTGCTGGTCGTCTACGTCGCGTCAACCGTGCAGGGCGCGCGCAGATAGCACCGCGATCACACCTCCCATCGCTCCGATCCGTGGAGTTGCGGATCTCGACGAGCACGCCCGAAAAGAAACTATAGCAGAAGAGGCCCATGGGGAAACTATAGAACCAACGCCTGCGTCAGATCGAGCCTCGTCGTCGAACTCCCCAAATCGGCACACCAAGAACCCATTGTCGTCTCTGTCGTATTCCGCGCCGTGTAGATGAGTTTTTCGGATGCACAAAACAGCTGTGCATCTTCTTTTCATCGTCTCCGCAAGCTCCACCAGCTTGATGATCGAGCCCCCCTCTGAGGCCTTCCACGCTCCACGCGGCGAACGTCTGCTTTTGCAGCAGGCGGCACGTTCTGCGAGGTTTGCCCCAGCCTCTGCGCATAGTTTGCGGGGCGTCGTGCTTCTTCACGTCGGTGGTGCACGCTGCCAGAGTCAATGGTCCGTCTGTATGTTTCCCTCTTCCTTTGTCTTGTCCACCCATGCTGGCAGCGGCTGTGATCTAGTGTCAGAGAAACGGGCATTCAGCAGGCGTGTGTGTAGTATCTGTTCTTATCTTGCTTTCTACAGCAGCGCGCGCGCTCACAGGGCGCCCATTTTGGATCAAGGGTAGAAAGCTATTCATTATCCTCATCAGTGATCACTGCCCGCCAGGGCAGACTCTCATGGTAAGCGGAGCGTGATTGCTCCGGGACACACGCACCATAGGCCGCTGGGCTGGGCCGCCGCGCCCGGGCGCCCCGCGGCAGGCAGCGGCCGGCGCCGCCGCCGGAGGCCGCCGAGCCTCCCCTCCGCCGCCGCGGTCACCACCGCGGCTGTCGTGGCAGCCAACGACTACGCGCTCTCCGCCGCGTTGGCCGAGGGCACCTACCTGTGCAAGCACGCTGCTGCTCATCATTCTCAACATCCTCCTGAAGATGTCCATCGAGCTGGACAGGAACGGCATCCCCCAGTACGCCGGGCAGCCGGAGTACTTCAACGAGTATGAGGAGCGCGCCTGGGACCTGTACCATGGCAGGACGGGCGAGAAGTCGAAGCAGGCCGCGACGGCCCTGCACTTGCGCTCGGGCCTGTCTGGTCCGGCCTACGAGGCCGTGCGCAAGCTCAAGCATGACGAGCTGATCGCCACTGACGAGTACGGCGAGTCCAAACCGGATGGGCTCACCCTCTTTCTGACGACGCCGAAGAAGGAGGTTCAGGACATCGCGCCCGTCCGGAGCACCGAGATCTTCGACAAGGCGCTGTATGGCTCTTCGGTTTGGCGTGATCGAAATGAGTCTATGGCAAATAATGTGACGAGGAGGCGAAAGGAGTTCGCCGAGTTGCAGGAGGTCAGCGCCAGCACGACGATTTCGGAGGACATCCAGGCCGCGCTGATCCTCAGGTTCTGCGGTATCAGTATGAAGGAGCAGGCCGCGGTCCTCGCCTCCAACAAGAACGAGTACAAGCTCGCGGGCATCGAGTGCGCTCTGAGGGCGCAGTACCCAGCTGTACATCGTCATCAGGACCGACGCGCGGATCGCCGAGAGCGGTCTGCCTACGCCTACGCCGCGTCCGACCAGGACGAGAACCCGTCGGAGCTCGACAATGTCTACTACGAGGACGAGGACGAGGACGGCTACTACCAGGGCGAGGAGGAGGAGTACGAGCACGGCGAGGACGACGAGTTCGACATCGAGAACTACGTCGCGGAGAACCTCGACGAGCTCGGCCCCGAGGAGGCCGAGGCCCTCGCCCTCGTCTTGCAGAGTCGCAACAAGATCTTCAACAAGAAGAGGCCGCCTAGGCGAGTGACTTCGAGCTTCCACGGTCGCGGCAAGACCGGTGGGAAGGGAGGCCGCCGTGGAGGCGGCAGGGGATTGCCGAGCAGATCGCCCGCGGGGCGAGGTGGCAGCAGCAGTTCGAGTAGCGCTGCCCCCGGCTACGACGACCGGCAGCGCGACGCTCGCCGGCAGCACATCGCCAACCTGAATAAGCGGACCCAGTGCTCCGATTGCCACCAGTTCGGGCACTGGCAGGGCGATGATGTTTGCCCTCGTCGGTCGGGCCGGAAGCCTACATCGGCGTCTCCAGCCAAGAAGCCCGCTGAGAACTACTTTACGCTCGAGGAGTAGGGGGACAACGACGACGACAGCGCGCCGTCCGAGGTCTTCATGGTACTGAAGGGCGAGATGGAGCACGCCTGCGAGCACGTGGCCGACGACGCCTGCGAGAAGGTCGTCCGCGGCGATCGCCACTTCACGCTCGCCCACCGCAACAAGGGGCTTGAGAGCTGTGGAGCTACTTCATGACGGTCTTGATGGGCACGAAGTGGGGCCGCTTCCTGTTCCACAAGGAGTTCGCGAAGCGGATCGCGTCCCACCTACGTATTCGAGGCGGGCGGCGGCGCCCGCGGCGCGACGCATTACCGGCAAGCAGCGGCTATGCGGCCGGCAGGCTGCAGGAGGCGATAAACCACGTGCATCTACACCGGCGGCCGCTTCTGCGGCCAGTTCTACGAGGCCGAGTGCTACTGGATCAGCATCGGCCGCGCCGCCTACACCCGAGAAGCGCATCATCAAGGTCGACCTGACCCAGGGCGACCCCGAGCCGAAGCCGGGACCGGAGCTGGCCTTCCTGTACGGCATCCCGCTGCACCACAGCACCGGGCTGGTGGAGTTCCCGGAGCTCGATGGCGTCGACCAGCTCAACCCGGTCCCGTACCCAGCGGAGGTCATCAACTACGGCACGCACAAGGGGCGAACCTTCCAGGATGCGGCGTCTGACCCGGCGCTCATCTGGTATAACAAGTGGGCTCTGGATCAGGCCTTGGGCCCCGAGGCGGAGGAGATCAACCCCCACTTGTACCGCTGCGCGTACTTCCTCTGCGCCATCGTGAAGATCGCGCGTGGCAAGCTCAACGTTGCCCCGCAGCAGATGATCGACAGCGACAAGAGGAGGCTCACCACCGACAGCGACTGGATGGAGGTCAACGCCGGCGGCTTCACCATCCCGGTTCAGCCCAACATCCATCAGCCGGACGTCATCTCCACCTACGAGTGCTCGGTCATGGTCGCCACTACCGGCAACGTCTTCTCGGCACACGACAACGACGCCGACGCCATGCTCGCCATCATCGACACTGGCTGCACGCGCACCATGCACGGCGAGTCGCGGCGGGCAGCCTTCGAGCGTAAGCTCGCGAGGCGCGGTCTTCAGGTAGTGAAGACCCCGACATCCCGCACCTTCAGGGGGGTCGGCGGCCGCGCGAGGAGCACCACGGCGGTTCGCTTTCCCGCGGGCATCGGCGGGAAGTGCGGCGAGATCTTGTCGTGTGAGGTGCCGGGCGACTGCCCGATGATGCTGCTCAGCAGGGACATGCTCACCAAGCTCGGGCTGAGCATGCGGCTCTCCACAGAGGGCGATGTCGCCGACTTCGCCAACATCGGCGTCTACAACCTGAAGCTCCACCACACCAAGGTGGGCCACCCGGCGGTCAACCTCCTTGACCTGCCGAACGAGAGCTACGAGACGGCCGATTGGGCGGCGCTGACGGTGCCCGAGGACCACCACCTCGAGTACTTCCCCGAGCAATTCCACGTCGGCATCACCTCCATCGAGGAGAGCTCGGCTGAGCCTCTCCCCAGCTTCCTGGACATCGAGATCGGCGAGACCACGGACGACGAGTGCCTCCAGACGGCCGTCGACCACGACTACGGACCAGACGTCTTCGCCGCCCAGGCCATCGAGTGGGGCGGCAAGCGCAACCTCACCAACAAGAAGTCCAAGAAGCTCGAGCACTCCCTGCAGGCCATCGCCGTGCAGGACGAGGTGGTGCAGGCCGTCGTGGAGAAGCATCCGCCGAGGGCCCGGCTGCCTGCCGGTGCCCGGACGTGGGTCAAGCAGACCTACGCCGGCCAGATGGGTTTGACAGTGCTCATGGCCGCGATGGGCCTCTCGGTCGGCGTCCCGCTGGACAAGCACACGGGCTGGGACGCTACCACCAGGCTGGGCAGGCAGAGGTACGACGCGGAGATCACCAACGAGGAGCCGTACTGCCTCGTGGTCTCGCACCCCTGCTCGCCGTGGGGCAACTGGAGCAGATTCAACATGGCTCGTTGCCCGGAGTCCGAGAGGAAGATCTTGGCCAAGCGCGAGGCGAACCGCCCTATTCTCAGGCAGGTGGACTCCTCAGTGGACAGTCGAGTGCGGAGGGGCTTCCACGTGGCGCTGGAGCATCCCCAGGGCTCCGAGGCCTTCGACCAGCCGGAGATGTCAAGGATTCGTTCTCTCCTGGACAAGGGCATCCTGAAGAAGGTCACCTTCGACGGCTGCCAGGTTGGGTACCGCGATGCTTAGTCAGGCTTGGCTCATCGCAAGCCCATGATGATCATTGCCACCATGTACACGCTGGTCGAGACCCTTTCCGATAAGAAGTGCAGCTGCACCCAGCACGAGCAGCTCAAGGGCCACAGCAAGTTCGGGCCGCGCACCCTGCAAGCGGCCGAGTGGCCGGAGGAGCTCAACCACATCGTCGCCCGCAGCATCGTACAGCAGGCCATCGTCGACAACGCCACGGACACCGACTGGCAGTTCCCAGCCGAAGACGGCCCAGACCTTCGTGGGCCAGTTCGACTGCGACGACGGACCAGGCTGCGGGGGCACCCGTACCGGGCAGCCGCGGCGCCGCCAGCGCCACCGCTGGACCCGGACGCGCCTGAGCCTGCTCCTCCTCCAGCTGACCAAGAAGCTGTGGGGGAGCCACCACCTCCGCCAGCCGTCACGGTCGATCCCGACGGCGAGCGAGCCCGAGAGGCCGCTCAGCTCGGCCCCATCACCAACACTCAGGAGGCCGAGCGGCGCAGGCGATGGCTGGAGGCCCCGCCGGAGGTCAGGAAGGCCATCCGCCAGCTCCACGTCAACTTCCACCACTGCTCGAACGCGACGCTGACCAGGCTGCTGAGGCGCCGAGGAGTCAAGCCGGAGGTGCTGAAGTACGTGGAGTTCTTCTCCTGCGACGCCTGTGGCGACGCCATTCGTCGGCGCGCCCCGCGACCTTCGCGGTTGCCAGGTCAGTACGTGTTCAACTACGCCATCCAAATAGACACCTTCCACGCCTACGACGCGGCCGGGACCCCCTATTTCTTTATGAACTGTATCTGCGAGGGCACGAACTTCGAAGTCGTGTACTGCATGGGCCATGGCTCGTGGATCACCGACGTCGCGTGCCACTACCAAGGCGTTCACTACCAGCTGGACCCCGTGGGCTGGCTACCCAGAGAAGCTCACGGTGGACCTGGGCAAAGAGTGGATGAAGGATTTCGCCTCCAACGCGAAGGCGCACGGCGTGCAGGTCGACCTGGCCCCGTTGGAGACGCCGCACCTCATCGGCAAGTGCGAGCGCCACGGGGGCATTTGGAAGGAGATCTGGCGACGCACTGTCGCCGACTCCCAGGTCACGGGGCTGGATGACGTCGAGGAGACCGCCTCCATCGTGACCCAGGTCAAGAACGAGCTGGGCCGGCGCGGGGGGTTCTCCCCTTCGCAGTGGGTCTTGGGGTCGCACGGGCCCCGCGCCCCAGGAAGCCTCCTGCAGGACAACGAGGCGCAGCGGCTGGAGGTCATCGAGGCGTCGCTCGACCCACAGTCCGCCATGGCCCGCGCCATGGCCCTGCGCGAGGCGGCCCGCATCGCGCACGTCCGCCTCGACTCCGACGACCGCGTCAAGCGCGCCATCCTGCGCAAGGCGCGGCCCAGCCGGGGCCCTTTCAACATTGGGGCCATCGTGTACTTCCGCCGGTCGCAAACCCGAGTCGGCGAGAGCCCCGAGGTCACGCACCGCTGGTTTGGGCCGGCCCGGGTTATCGGGCATGAGGTGCGCGACCCTCGCCATCTCTCGCGACGCCGACGAGCCCGTCGGCACGTTGGCCCATGCGGTGTGGCTGCGCTATGGGCGCACCACCGTGCTCGCAGCCCCTGAATCGCTCAGGTTCGCCTCCGAGGACGAGCTGCTCGCCATGCACACCTACGTGAACCCGGACCTGCTGTCCCTCCGGTCGCTGAAGAGGGCCAGGCACTATATCGACATCCGGGCCGACGCGGCGGCAGCCTCGCCCGCCCCGATGCCCAGGCCGCAACAGCACGCGGCTGGCCACGGAGGGGTGGTTGGGGGCGCGCTCGGATCTGCCGGGCCAGGGCCTGATGCAAATTTCGACCTCGACGAGTTCAACACCGAGGACCATCTACCACAGCAGCGGGTCGATCCTCCACAACCGGCACACGAAGTACCACAACAGGCATCTCACGAAGTACCACAACAGGCATCTCCAATTATTCAGGAGACTGCCGACACACTACTACCACCACCAGCTCAGCATCAGCCTCCTCCTGTGGTTCCTGAGCCACCACGCCCGGGGCTCCCAGAGGCAGAGGGGCCGCCACGCTCGCACGGCCCGGGCGAAAACGGCATTTATCCCGAAGTTAAAAGTCATTGGTCCGACCCTTCGGCAGCCCCTGCGGAGGCCCGAGTTAAAGGTCATTGGGTCGACCCTCGAGCATCCCAGGAGGCCATCGACAAGCCGGCGCCCCCGGACGACGAGATGGGCGTGGGCCTGGAGCGCGGGGAGAAGCGCAGAGGCCTGCCGATTACCCAGCTGGACAGAGCCATGCGCGATCCGGAGCGTCTGGATCGGGGTTCCACCAAGAAGCCTCGCACCTTCCAGGGCTACGTGGAGGAGGAGTTCCGCGTCATGGAGGACGCCCTCCACGAGGTGTTCTTCACCAGCGACTACAAGCCGGACCTGGCTGTCGCCTACGAAAGGCGTCGCACCGACTACGGCATCAAGAAGTTCATCGCCACGGACATGCGTGGCCCTCGCTGGTCCAAGGTGCTTCGCCGCATCACCAGGGACATCGAGACGGGCATCGTGATCGATGACATCGACGTCAGAGGTCTTGCTCTACGCGATGCTCGCCTTCGCCGGCCTCTGCCTGGTGGCATCACCGCGGTCGAGACCATCTTCGTCCACGCCGACGAGGACGTGGGCACGAACGACGCCGTCGAGTTCGCCTACCTCACCAAGGGCGCGGTCCGCTCCGATATCAGACTTCAAGATCTCGCCCCAGAGCAGAGGAAGGAGTTCGACCAGGCCATGGCCAAGGAGTGGCGCAGCTGGACCGAGTTCCAGGCCGTCGAGGTGCTGAGCTCCAACCAGGCCAAGGAGCTCCTCGACAGGGGTGCCTCCCCGGTTGGGACGCGCTGGGTTCACACGGACAAGAACGCCAAGAAGCGCAACCCCAAGCAGACCTACGACGACATCCCGCTCGCTGCCAAGAGTCGGCTCGTCGTGCAGGGCTGCCAGGAACGAGGAGATGATATCCGAGGCGACGCTCTATACTGCTAGCCTTTTGGCTTTCCACCTGGTCGCCAGTTACGCTGCCTCCCATCGGTGGCAGGTAAGGGCAGCTGATGCTGCGACGGCCTACATGCAGTCCAAGGGCATTGAGCGCATTCTGCTTCTTCGAGCTCCTCGTCCTCCACCACCTGGAATTCCGGAGGGGTCCTACATGCGCGCTCGCGGCGCCATCTACGGCACCAAGGACGCGGGCAGGCAGTGGTGGCTGCATCTGCGCGCCATCCTCGTGGAGCAGGGTTGGCGCGAGTCCATCTACGAGCCCTGCCTGTTCATGCTCAGGGACAGCATGGGCAAGCTCATCGGCTTGCTGTGCACGCACGTCGACGACCTCTTCGTCGCGGGCGCGGGCGAGCAGTTCGAGCGCGTGATGGATATCATCAAGGATAAGATCCACCTCTCCTTCCAGTCCGGCACGTTCAGGTACTGCGGCAAGGTCGTGGAGCAGGACAGCCAGACCTTCGACATCAAGATCGGCCAGGCCGCCACGGTCGAGGCGCTGGAGTACATCGCCCTCGAGCCACACCGCCGGCGCAAGCCCAATGCGCCGCTCACCCCAGAGGAGATCTCTGCCCTCCGTAGCGGTGTTGGGTCGCTTGGCTGGGTAGCGCGGCAGACGCGCCCTGATCTGGCCGTCCACGCTTCGCTTGGGGCTCAGTCTATGAGTGGTCCCAAGATCCGCGACATCGTCGCAGTGAACCGCGCCATCAAGATGGCCAAGGACGACGTCGACTTCAAGCTGGTGTTCTCGTCCAGCCTGGACTGGGACAGCGCTATCGCGTTCGGCTGCGGTGACAGAGCCACGGCAACATCGACGACCTGACGCTGGGCGAGAAGGTCAAGTCGCAGTGCGGCTACATCATCGGCATGGCGTCGCCCGACCTCGAGATGGACACCGCCGCGATCATCCACCCGCTGGAATGGGCCAGTGCGACGATCAAGCGAGTGGTTCGTGGGTCGCTAGCAGCTGAGTGCAACGGCTTCCTGACGACGGCCGAGAGCGCGGAGTTCCTCAAGCATGTGATCGCCGAGATCTCCGACCCCGGCTACTCGTCCTACCAGTTCGACCCGTTCTTCGACGGCAAGCACTTGCTGCTGCTGACGGACGCGAACGGCCTCGTCACCTCCTTGGAAAAGGACGGTGGTCAGCCCGCTGATAAGCGGGTGCGGATTCTGATGGCCCAGATCCGCCAGCTGCTCGGCCATGACGTGCTGACGCAGGAGCGCGAGGGTGATGACTGGAGGATACGTGCCAGGTGGATCGACACGAAGTTGATGATCGCGGACGCCTTGACGAAGGCCGATGCTGAGAGGGGCTTCCTGCTCGAGCGGCTGACCGAGGGCCGCTGGTGCTTGGCCCAGACGGAGGAGATGCTCGCTGCCAAGGCAGCGGCTGGTGAGGCGCGCCGTGCTCGCAAGGCCCGGCTAGGCGATGCGGAGGGGTAGCCCCCCCGACTTTCGTTTCTCTCCTTCTCCTCCTCCGCCTCCTCTCCCACGCACCGTTCGGCTTCGCATTCGTCTCGATTACGCCCTAGCCTAGCTAGGTACCGCCCTGTGTAGTTCCATATTCGCACGCCTGTATAGGCCCCCGCTCTGCCGACTCCTTGGAGATTCGCGCAGTGAATTTGTTCCAGAGCACTCTGGCATCTGGGCTCATCTCTGTCTAATGTAGCTTAGCCCCGCACCGTTTTTTGTTTGGGTCAGGACGAAATTCTGCCGCTTCTGTCTCCACTCCTCCCGTTTTTCCGGGATTGTGCCCTACGAGGACAGGCCTCGATGGTCACGGAGGGGTGTCAGAGAAACGGGCATTCAGCAGGCGTGTGTGTAGTATCTGTTCTTATCTTGCTTTCTACAGCAGCGCGCGCGCGCTCACAGGGCGCCCTTTTTGGATCAAGGGTAGAAAGCTATTCATTATCCTTATCAGTGATCACTGCCCGCCAGGGCAGACTCTCATCTAGTGCTCGAACTGTGGTTGGCGAGCCATGAAAGGCTCGTCGCAGCCAGCTCCTGGTTCTGATGCAAAGTGTAAGGAAGAAACTCCACTGTGGGGTGCTGCTCCAGCAGGAGCTCACATGAGACACTGGTATATTGGTATGCCCACAGGAGGAGTGAGGGCAAGGGGGGATGATTTGTCCGCGGGTTGCGGTTAAGCAGCGCCGAGCAGCACGGAACCAAATCATGAGGCAGTGTGCAAGCATTGGGCAGGCAGTTCGCACAACTCTCGACCATCCAGGGGAGGCGAAAGCGAAAAGAACAACCAAAGTGTAACGGAACTGTCTAATTATGCAGGACACCGCCCCCTCCATCCCACACATCCGATGGATTTATGTATTCGATCCACGAGCCCAAGACAAGTCTGGACCCATCTCTCGTGGGGCAATGCTTCGTCCCAGACTCTTGATGGCCCTGGGCCTAAAGAAACGGCCCGATGAAAAGACACTTCTGGGAAAACGCACGGATTGAAAAACAACATCCGCCAGCTGTCTGACTACAATATGAAACATTGACCATTGGAACTGTCCAGTCCGGGACCCTGCGCTCTGGCTAGAACAACGCCAATATGGTCGAGGTCAAGAGAACTTAGGACAAAAACGTTAACAGCAACGTGAAAATACACACATTTGACCACGCACATGCATCACAAAGTATCAACATGTTCGGACCTCCTCGTCGTCCACGTCGTAATCGAGCCCCCTCGTCGTCGTCGGAGCCTCGGAGGCTGCCTCAAACCTCCTCGATTTAGACCTCCGACCATGTGTTTTCTGCTTTCATTAATCGCGGTGTTTGTTCATCATTTCGAGCTGCCTAAGCTGTTTTCAAGCCCTGGGGCAATCACAAACGATCCTGCGCAAGACCCACGACCCGGGAGGGGGTCGGGAACTCTGGGGTCGCGGGCGGAAAAACCATGCCGGAGGACGTCTGGGGTCGTCGTGCCCGCCGAGCCTTGACGTTCTCCAGGCGGTCCACAGTGTTGCCCGGGCGGTAGTCGGAGCCGCCGGGCCCCTCGGCGGGGGGGGCAGGAGTATGGAGGCTCTTCTCTCCTCGATGCCGGCTGCGAGGTGGGCGAAAACCGGTGTACATAACAAATAATCACAAGATCGCCCAACTTCACGCATCGCGCCTCGCCATTGCATTCGCGCCTTCACGCCGTCCCCCTGGAGAAAGGCAGCCGCTATGGCCGAGGCCGTGACGCGCGAAACGCGATTATCCTCGCGCCCCTGCGGGTGACCAGCGGCGGGAGAGTTTACGCCCACTCGCGCGATGGCCCGTCGAGGTCCAACCTTCCTGGCCGCCCTGGGACAGGCGCCCCCTGGGGTCGGGAGTCCTCTGTGGCCTAAAGAGCGCCGCCTGGGTGCCCGACGAGCGCTACGGGAATAACCATGCGAGGACCTAAAGAGCACCGAACCCCTTCCGAACCTGAACCCCTCCTTCTTTCAGCGTCCTGACTGTACCGCTAATTCTGTGTGGGGTGGGTATCTTCAGACCAGCCTAGATGAGCTCTGCGGCAAGAGAGAGAGAGAGAGAGAGACAGAGAGAGATGAACAACGACGAGACGGCACGACAGGTAGAGGAAGGGAAGGGGGGAAGGCGCAGACTGCACGCCAGGCGCGCCGCCGCAGGCCAAAGGCGCGACTCAGCGATACCGCCGCTGCCCGTACTAAAAGGAACGAGACGGGCCTCTCTGCTGTCGCGTGTCCGGGCGCGGCGGCCGGGGTGCCGCAGCGGCCGCCAGGACGTGGAAGGACAGACGGCGGCGCCATCGCAATCTATTCGGACACCCACGAAGCGAGAAACACTGGCTTCTCCAGCACTTTAGCGTTATAGCTGCTTCGGGCTTCTAACGCTGCAAGACGGCCCAATAGGCCCCCAACAACCGAACACCCCAGGGAGTACCCCCCCAAAGATAAGACAATTCAGGGCTCGGGGGGATAAGAAAATGTGTTTCCAGACACGTCGCAGCATAAGGATTCCTTGCGAATGCACGGATGGAGGGAGTGTCAGACATGTATCGGTGTGCACGGATGCACGGTGTACAGATGTACGTGTGCAATCCCACCAGCCCTCTGGGCGTCGGTGGTTTAGAGCGTTTCCTCTTCCACGCCTCCTTCTTCCCCTTCGGGGAGGGGTTTACCCCTCCCCCTACCCCCTCCCCGGGACTTGGACGGGGGGTTCCGCGAGTCGTCGGAGCGTCCAAAACGGCCTCGGCGAGGAAGCCAAAATCATTGGTTTTACTTTGGTTTTGGCCCCATTTTGGCCTCGGGGGGGGACGCTAATTGGACACCCTCCTCCTGCGATCGATCTCACCCAAGATGACCCAAACATGGCCCCCAAGGGTGCCCCAAAAAGGCCCCAAGAGGTGGCCAGGAAGCCCCACGAGTCCCCCAGGATGCCCCCAAGAGGCTCCCAAGAGACCCCCGGGAGGCCCCAAAAGACCCCCCAGAGGTACCCAAGATGCGAGAATGCCAATTCATTGATTTTACTGAGGGTTTTTGCCACGTGTTGGCCTCTTGGGGGGGCACTGATTAAGATGACCCCAAGAGCGCCTGGGAGAGCCCAAGATGACCTCCAAGATTGGGGATGTGATAAACGCCGGTTGAAATAGCATTGGATTTTGGCTCCCCGACCGGGTCTGGGCACACTCCGAATTCAACGATTTTGTTTTCAAGTACCTGGGGATTTGTGAATTATTGCGCGGCTATGTTTTTTAGGAAGAGAAATTTTCAAGAGGTTTTGTAATTGCTGGGTCGGGTTACCGATCATATTTTCGCAGTGCTAAGTACACGCAGTGTGGAAATACATATTAACATATGTTAAGCCGTATTTTTCGCACGCTCGTTGTTGCCATTTGGGAATGAGAAGCAGCTTTCGTTTTATATGACGTCTCTTGTCGGCGTGAGAAATCTGGAGTAACGCGTAGCTCGATCCAGCAAATTCAAGTTTCTGGATCGTATATGAAGGGTTCGCCGTGTGTGTGTGTTTTCTGTCGATGGCTATTTAAGCGTTAGATTTTCGAAGGGGGATTCTTGTTGGGGTCGGTTGACATTTTGCACGGGTTTCACGCAGTCGCGTTCGCCGCGCTTTTTTTTTTCTTATGCAGTGCCCCCCGGGAGATTGTCGTTCGAGTCGTTCTCTGTTCGACGCGCCCGTCCCTGCCGCCGCTGCCGCCGTCGTCGCGTCGTCGTCGTCGTCGTCCGTCGTCGTGAGTCGTCGTCGTCAGCGTCAGCGTCGGCGTCGGCGTCGGCGTCGGCGTCGGCGCGGCCGTCACCGCGGCGCCGACTTTCTTCTCGAAACCGCGGCCCTCGCCGCGACCTCGCCGCGGGCCCCGCGGCGGCGCGATGGCCGCGGCCGCGGCGGCGGCGGCCGCCGACCTCGAGGGCCAGGGCCCGAGGCGCGGGTGGGAGGGCGGGGGGATTAGATGATGATGATGATGATGATGATGAAGCGCCTTGAAAGGTCGGTCCTCCCAAAACACGAACCTGAGAAGCCACCAATACGCCAAGTGCGCACGGTAGAGAAAGAGGGAAACGGGAGGAGAGGCGGGAGAAGAAAGAAGCGGAGGAAAGGTGAAGCCCAGCCCAGGATTGAAACCCATGATACTGAAAGAAATCATGAATGACAGACTGTCCAATATCCCAAATGAATCCCACCACAAGGTCTCTCTTGTGTTGAATGAAGATGAGAGACATGAGAAACATAATGCAAGATAATGAAAGAGTTGCCCAAATTGGGGATTAGAAGGAGGAGGAGGAGGCGGCGGAGAAGGAGGAGGAAGAGGAGGAGGAGGAGGAGGAGGAAGAAGAGGAAGAGGATGAGGATAATGATGACACCGACCACCCATTACGATCGCAGTGGCGCTGTACGGGTACGCGTTCTCGCCCAGCGAGGGCGACTTCCCGTGCTGTCGGTTCAACTCCCTTCGCCACGTCGTAGAGTGCAGCGTGGAGATCGGCGGCCACGATGCTCGTGATCGACGGGAGGAGATTGCCTTGAGAACGCAGGTGATGGCCCATCTGTCCACCCTGCCTCCAGGTGTCGGTGGCCCCGCGGCGCCGTTCGACACCTCCCACCTCCGTACAGTTGTTGAGGAGCCGGGGATCTCACATTCCCGTCCCCACCCCACCACCGCGCCCACCCGCCCCCGCTCCGACTCCCGCTCCCGCCACGTGGCCCGTTCGGCCAATTGGAGCTCTCGCCGCGCCCTGCTCTTGCTTGCCCCTCCCCCCCCCATCCTTGCCCGCCCGCCCCGACCCCCCGACCCCGAGAAACGTGGAAACGTTGTTCGAGCGTCTTCTGAACTTCGGAACGCCCCGAGGAGATTTTCAACGTTCGCGGCGTTCCCTGGGAAGTTGTGGACAGAAATGTTGGGCAGCGCCTCCGCGCGCAGGGCGCGACGACTGCGTGCCTGGGGCGGCGCGGCCCTGTCCGCGC